GTGGAAAGTAAAAAGTGACGCAAAACGGTTGTTGGTTCTGTGTTTCATGGCCTCCAGGTATGGAATCTTATCTGGACGATAGAAACTTGACACCAGCGTGTGGAGTTTTACTTTATCTAATGATGAGAAAAGAACAAGCCATCTTTATGTTTAAGGAAGGCGACCAATCCCTTAATTTGATAAGAAAGATTTGGCGATTCCCCATTTTTCATTACGGAACCTCTAGTAATCTCATGCCTTGAATAGTGGATTATTATAGATGATTTGTTAAAAAAAAAAAATGATACTATAACGTTTTTGTGACGTGATATATATGTAAAATATAATACTTTTTTAATATGATATATATAAGATCGAAAGATAATTAAAAAAATGTAATTGTAATCAAATTAGGGGAAAAAATCCTGCCCTATATGATAATGCTAATATAACCAATTGAACTACTCCATCATATTTACCCGATGAAATACAATTTAACTTGCAAGTGAATGAACGACTTTAATACAAATTACTTTGAACTTAACCTTTTAAAAATAATGCTTAATGAACACTATGGTTTAAAAAAAAACCCCAATAAAATATTTAAAAATTCCATAACAATAAAATATTCCATTTAGTCCACTTTATATTCTCAGATTCTTAGTTATGTCGAAATAACAAAAGAATTTTTCACAGAGATAAGTAGCAAAATCTAATGGTAAGGCAACAAAAAAAATTAGGAGAAGGATAACTGCACTTATGCTGCACTACTTCAAGCCAAACCAAACTCAACACAAGATAAATTTTCGTACCAATTAGACTCAACTCAAATCGTTAATTTTCTCACTCAATTTCTTAAGCAATGATTTCGTTTGAATAAAGTTATTTTGTTAAAAATTTATTATTTTTTACCACCTTCTATTACCCGTCACAAAAATGTTAAAGTAAATACCAATACAAAAAAAAATTTCTAGATAATCATCACTCCAAATTATAAAAAACAAAAAGGGAGCAAAAGAAGAGGGAAAATTGGCTGACTCAGAAAACGTGCACGTGCATCACAGAACGAATCACAAAAATGTTTGCCGTACCAATCCATCCACATTTGTCCTCATCAGTCATCACACCCTGGAGCCTGTGCTCCGTCCCGTCTATGAATAGCCAGCCCACCCATTTTCTTATCCCTCCCTCTTCTTCGTTCGTCCCACCAAAAATCTCTCCCCGTCTCACTAGTCTCTCTCTCTCAGCCTAGCCCTCCTTTGCTCCATCTCTCTCTCTCTCTCCTCTTCCCACCACACGACCCACCACCAAGGTCCGCCTCTCTCTCCCTTTCTCTCTTTTAAAGCCGGTTATTTTCCCACTTTTATTTTATACTAAAAATAGTATTTAATTGTTATTATTTTCTCCCAATTTCTGTATCATTTCTGGAATTCATTTCTTTTTGATCTGGGCATGACTAATTTTTGTGGGATTCGTGAACATGTTTTTGTTTTGCATAGGCTTGGATCTGTGAAGGAGAAAATAGACTGAAAGTAGAAAGATGAATAGGTGTGCATATCCAAGCCAGCAGCAGAAGGCAGCCTTGGTGGGATTGGGTTTGGGATTGGGTTTGGGAATGAGTAATTATGTTGGAGTTGGAGGAGACTCTTTCTTCAACTCTTCTTCTTCGTCGTCTATGGCTGCTGCTTGTCCAAACGGCGTTGTATGTCCAAAGCCTCGTCGACTTGTTGATAATGACCCCATAAATGTCAGACCCTCCAGAATTGTTCATACCAAGTACTATGTTCTTTGCCTTTCTCATTTCTTTTTTCTTCATTTTTTGTTGGCTGTAAAGTTTTTTTGTTGATATTGGTTTGGTTTCTTCTAATATCTTTTTTTTTTTTCACTATTTTGTTTTTTTGGTTCATGTTACAGTAATCAACAGATGGAGAGCTGCGAGTCAAGGGCAGGATCAGAGCTTCTGGACATAATTCTTGCAAAGGTAGAATTCTGTTCTTATTTTCTACGTAAGTACTAGTTCTCCTTGTTATGATTTTTAAATTCTCTTTAAAAGGATTTTGATGGGATTTTTCTGATTTGTTTCTTTTTTACGTTTTAGGGAAAAAAAAAAAATAAGAGAGTGTTTCTTTTATCATCTATTTTTTTTCCCCATCAAGTACAGCACTTATGTAAAGTTTTTCCCTGAAAATTATTTTGAGCCCTTTTAAAATAATTTCTTTAGGGAATCCTAAGCGGGCCGTATATAGTCTGCATCATTGGTTTGGCTGTTTCAATTTTAATTAAGTATCAAAATTAGCTGCTCTGATAGTATAGTATTAGTATTGTTGTTTAGATTCCTCAAACTCAAAGCATTTGTTAAATGAATAAATGTTTTGACCTTAATATGTGTGGGCTGGGCATCTTGATCAAGATTTTGAATTTGATTTTTTTTTTTTTCAAAGGGTAATTATGGAGCTGGAGCTGAGAAGCCCAATTTTCAGGTGGCTTCATCTCCTCCATTTTTCAATGGATCACCACCGGTTAGAGCCTCAAATCCTTTAATCCAAGATGAACAATTTGGGACTGGGAAGATGAGTCCACTATCATCTCCTCCAATGGGATCGCCAGCTTCGCCGCCGTCGCGAAAAAACAGCGGAGGAGGATCATCTGGCCGCGTGAAATGTGGGAATCAGCCAGCTCCGGTGAGAATTGAGGGCTTCAACTGTCGCGGCATTTCTGCTGTGATGGCCTAAAAAAAAAGAGAAAAATTGAAAGCCCTGTTTTTGCCTCGAAACATAACATTATGATTATAACAACAGGTGTAGAGAAGATTTTTAGCCCATATGTCAAAGGTTAAAAAAAAAAAGGGAGAGAGTGAGAGTGAGGGAGAGGGGATTGATGAGGAAGAAATTATTGTTTTGTTTAGTTTTGTAAATAGAGGAGGTTAAGAAAAAAAAAAAGGAGAGTGAATGTGAATATGTAATGAGGAAGTTGATCCGAGGAAACAACAATAAAAAAGCAAAGAGAAGGTATGGCAATTTCATGCTTCTCTTTGCTTATGATGATTTTTAGGTTTTGTGCTTTTAGGCCATGAATTTGGCTCTTTGGAGTAAGAAAGCACTAGAGAAACTTTTGTAATTGATAAAAAAGTTTGCCTTCTTTCTCGTCCTTCATTGTAATTGTGATTCGAAGGCGAGGAGATGATGGTCTTTTTATCAAGTTCCTGGGAATTTTCCCTTCAATTTTCTTTTTTTTTTTTTTTTTTTTGGGTGGGCATGTTACAATTGTTAATTAATCTGTACAAATCATGCGTGGTATGCACGTGTTCTACTGCAATGCTCAGCTTAATAAAAATATTATTATTATTGTTGATAGTAATGTCAGTGGGGTCGGCTAGTATTTGCTTGTTCAACTTTTGCTCTTGACAAAAAAAAAAAAAAAAAAAAAAAAAAAAAAAAACTTTTGCTCTTGACAATTTTATTATTGATTTGTTTTTACGTTGCCTAGCTCTCAAAAGCTCATTCTGTGGCGTTATCTTCGCCACTCCTACTCTAGTCTACTCTCTACTAGGAAGTGATTGAATTATTAGTGCTAGTGCTACAAGCCACATATGATCTGATAAATTTTATATAAAATTTTCATTATTAAAGCAAATTGTGATATTTTAATTTTTTTTACTCCCTTCAAATGATGATGGTTTTACAGTAATTTTTGTTAAGATGTGTTTAAATTAATTATGATTAAAAATAATTATAGGTAGATATTTCAACAATTCATATTTAGATAGTAAAATAATAAGTGATTTTAGCAAGGATAAAATTGAAAGTATATAAAATGAAAAAAATGTTTTATCGCAAATTCTCATCTCTCTCTTTTCTTCTCTTTATATAAAGTGTAGATATATAAAGTATGGAGACTACGTGGATGAATTTTCTTCTCTCTTGTTTGTTTTGTTAGCAGTACAATAACCTTTTCCATATGTCCGAATTTTGTAATGTTTTGTAAAGATTGGGGACAGTGGGGTACGGTGCTACGTGTTAATGTATAAATTTAGTTGGGAGGACTTGAATGCTGACTAATAGCTAGGCTGGCTTTGCTGGTAGTTGGCCACCACCTAGCAGACAGACCACTAATAAAAGAGTCCGGGGACTAAGAAATGGTCTAGGATTTGGACCATGTCCATTTCCAATAAATAGGGGGGCTCTCCCTTGGTACTCTCTTTTCTCCGCTAGTTGAGTGAAAGTCCAAATCTTATATTGGATTCGTTGATGGAGATTCTTAACTCAACTAATCACTATGCTCCATCTAGCTAATCAGCCTTTTTTTAATATATATATATATATATATATATACACTGTATATAAACAAACGACTAAATAGAAACGTATTAAGAATAATCTTTTATATATTGATAATGTATGCATTGCCGGTTAATGCTAAGAGAGCGAAAAGTTCGAATCTTATATTGGATTCGGTAGCGAAGATTCTAAACTCAAGTTGTCTTGTCTCTTGCCTCGTCGTCATTAATTACTATGCTCCACCTAGCTAATCGCTAAATAGAAACGTATTAAGATTAATCTTGGATGAGTAAATGTTATATAAAATTTGAATTTGAAACTAACGGCGATAATATATACACTGCCAGTCAGTGTATATAAGATTCACTCAACTTATTATGATTTCGTCACAAGAAGGGAGATTTCTATTTCTAGTTTTAATAGTTCTAGAGTAAAACACACGAGTTCTCAACTTTCACGAGATATTATTGTTTAGGAAGCATTAAAGGATTTCGTAATCCTTTTGTATGTTAATTTTTGCAGAAACTTTATGGGATTTCAAATTCCGCTGCACGACAAAGTATTACTCAAGGAATGCTTATTCCAATATGAGTTGCTTCCCGTTTCGATTGCATTTTTCGGCATTTTTCATGGAAAAATTACTGTAGCGATTTGATGTATGTGAGGAAAAAAGGTAATAGGGAAATGTGTTCACGGAAAATGACGAAATTTTTCTACGGAAAACAGCAATCCAAGCGAGGCTTTTAATTTATCTTGATATATTAATAAATGTAGAGCTTTCTTGTAACAACTCCTTTGCTAGCATTGTTATGTATACTTGGAGAGAAAGAAGTCCTACAGCTTTTATGAACCTTACAATCTGAGCTGAACGTCCTAACTAAAAATAAGAGATGCAAAACTGCCAGCACAAGGCACTGGCCAAGGATTCTTCATCAAAGGCATAAAAAAGTTAAAAAAGTTAGTGACCAAACTGTACATTTGAATCAAATTGAAATTTTGTAAAATTGCTTCCTCTCATTGCCACCTTCTGGGAGTGGGAGGTTTAGGTGATAAATTGGCTCCACTGGCTGATTTCTTCAATCCTGAGTAAATGCAGAGAAAGTCTCAAAAGAAACATCAGCAGAAATGAAGCTCATTCCATTCATGCAAAAAGCATAGCAGTGCAATCTATAGAGCACCATTGTGCGTACCAGTTGAGACTCTTGGAGACTCCTTTGGTGATTTTTCTCCTGCTCTAGGTGATCTAACTACTATTTTCAATCTGCAAAAGATGATTATGAGAACAAATGATCAAAGATCCCGAGCCAGTCAAATACCTGATCGCCACTGCATAACTGCAGAAGTAGTAAAGCTAAGGTAACATAGTCCCTCGACCTATTTAAGTGGTATGAAAGCCGAAACCACATGGTTAAAGCATGACTTAATCTGATCGAATCAAAGTGGTCTTTTCCCGAATGTCCGAAAAGTGGCAGAATTCTTCATTAGCTGTGAAAAGTTATAGCAAGGAACAAAAGAACAAGAATGATGGCAAGGTACTTTGGCTTTAATATTTCAGAAAATGAGGGGTGAAGGAAGGAGAGTGTTCGTTCTACTATCAGTGGTTTAACGTTAGACAATTTAGAACACCATATCCTCAATTACTTGAAAAAGAACTTCAGGCATATGCATAAACAGTAAATATTAATCCTAGTAGTTTGTTACATGGATGCTTTCAGAAAACTGTAAGATAAAAACGTATAAAGACTAATTATATTGTCTCGTTTAGAATAGGAGAAAGCACTAAAATCGTTACGCGTATTATGAAGGTTCTGAGAAAACAAGATGAAATATTGAATTGGCTAGTTAATTATATACTTACTTATCAATATTCTCAGATCGCCTTGCTCCTTCAGCAAGGGGACTTCTTTCCACTGAGCCATCAGTTTCTGTGCCCAAAGAAACACAAATATCAGACATATCAGTCTTTCTTTGCAAATTATCTGCACTGCTGGATTCCAAGGCCTCAGCCTCAGCAGAAAAATGTTGACCTATATTAACCCTCCAGCAGTCTTGGATTGCTGGGGGGGGATTCTTTTTTATATCTCTAAAATCATTGGTTTGGAACTATCTAAAGAATGTTTATCACTACCCTCTGAGTTATCTTCATCAGAAGCTGCTTTCTCTATTAGTCCTGAGCCTTCCTCACCAGATAATTTCATGCTTCGTTGAGGAGTCCCATACCTCAGTGAATTTGCATCATTATTGGCTCCAGCGTACACATTTTTGAGATCCTTGAGGAGTTGTAATCTCTCAATTTCCTCGTCTTTCTTCGCAATTGTGTCTTTTAGGGATGCAACCTGCAACATTGGGAATCCGCATATATGAAAAGTTATCTCCAAGAATATCAAAGTTACTCGAAAATAGGAGAGACTAGAAACTAAAATACACAAATTTCTTTATAAGTGACTTCTTTGATTTCAACGTCTGTAGTTGTTTGTTTTCATCAACGCAGCCAAGAGTCCAGTTATACTTTTTCAACTGGATTTCTTTTTAGAATTGTCCATGCAACAGTATATAATTGAAATCCTTTATGAAAACAAGAATTTCCTAACACACATGAAAACCAGTAAAAAAAAAAAAAATCTTAGAATTTCATATTCTCTATATGAATTGGAAGAAAGAGAATAAACACTACCTGCTCCATCAATTCCCTAACATCCCTGCCATCTTTGCTGCTTTTAGCAGCACCTAGCTCAACTCCAGATGCCCTTTCAGCAAATTTCAAGGTACTTAGAGTTTCTGAATAAGAATTAACTTCAGGGTTAAGTTGCACAAACATGAGAGTCTTCGCATTTCCACCTGCATCACAACAATGGAAAAAAAAAAAAAAAAAAAAGAATGAATGAAATGCATTTCACTTTTCTGGTCATTGTAGTAATCCAATTGCCCACGAAATGCACCCCAATGTTTCTTATACTGAAAATTACAAAATTCTGTCACATAGTACAGTGTTTATACTAAGACAGATAATAAATTGTCAGCCACTTTTAGTTTCGTTGGTTGAAGAGGGGTATGGAGGGAAAGTAATTAGTGTGGAGGCCTATGCACATTTAGACAAGGAATGCACAAGAAACGTACTTGCAAGACCAAAGATACGAGGAAAAGAGGAATCATCCCCTTCGAGGACTTTATCTCCCAAAAAACCATCTGAGCTTTTTGCTGCCTAAAGTCCTATGGCAGAAAATGCTAAGGAGTTTTACTGAGTTTCACATGAAGTACTATACTTGTGTCATACCATGCCAGCCAACTAAGTTTTCATCCAATGCATGTTTAAACATGACAAAATACTAAAGCAACGTGAACCAAGTGATACTACTCCATGTATACTTGAACCTAAGCTTATCTGCAAATGTTCCAACCAGATGCAGAAAGTCCGTAAAGTAACTTGGAGGCTGAAACAACAACGCATAGAGCATTTGCTTAGCTTTTATATACCCCTAAAAAAAAAGCTGTGAATTAGATCCATTTTCGCTCATATGAGGCAATATTACATTGACAAAAAATAACATACCCAACGAGCCCTGAAGGACTTGAGTGAGCTTGCTATTTCTATATGGAATATGAGGACTCTTTTGTGCCAAAGCAGAGATGACATCTCCAAGGGCAGACAATGATTTGTTTATGTGTTGTGCCTCCTTTAATCTATCACCTGTGACTTCACTGCGGTCTACTCTTTCACTTCCCGCAAGATCCACTAGATGAAGACTACTCTGCATAGAAGATCGGGTTTTCTGATCTACCCCACGAGCATGTATACTCAGGATGCTGTGTAAATGGCATGCCAGTTAAAACGCTGACAATAACATGAGAAAAATAATTAAGGAACTTTAACATGGTAGTAAATAACCTGTGTGATCGACTGCTTCTTTCGTTTAGTGCTGTGGAACCTTTAGCTCTATTCTTCAGTCCAACATCCATCAGGTGCAATACATCAGATGTCGCTTTAACTGGGTACATGGTTGCATCTGGGACCGCTAACCCATTTGGTTGGGAGCCTGACAAAATCCCAAGTGTGTGCAAATAAAGGAAAACCAAAAGAAAATTGCTATTATGCAATTCAAAAGCACTTCATTGTAATAAAGATTTACGTGAAAAAAAGGTTGCAATTTCTGCTCCAAAAGTGGTGTTATTGTATAGCTTGGAGCACAATTATTTTACTACGACTTTATTGGGAGAATGCACTTATAGTTAAAGCATGAAAGAGGACTCAAGATCAAGCTACAACATGGTCTCAAAATAATTATCATCCTAAAGCAAGATAAAATATTCCAGCATATAATGAAGGATATCTCTTTTGGGAAGTATCACTTGAGAGTAAGTCACGGACTTGCTCGTTATATATTTCCACCATCTGAACAGAAATTTCGTAAGAAAATGCGTGCTCTCTATTCTGAGAAGTTTGGAACAGATTGTTTAAGGCTCGGTAGTTAACACCCCATTCATCTTCAGATGCTTTATCAGGTCCAGTCTGGAAGTAGATATGATATTTCAGCGACGCAGACCACAATGAAGCATATGCACTGTAGACAGAAACTGATCAAAATATTCATACCATAGTATAGGTTTTCCCTGATCCAGTCTGGCCATAAGCGAATATGCACACATTATATCCATCCAAAACTGATTGTATTAATGGCTGCGTATCTGAAAATACTTCAGCTGCCATTGGGGGAAAAAACAGTGAATTTCCATGTTGTTTTGGCCTATGTACTAGAACAAAAATATAGAAGCAAATAGCTTAATCCTGCATGAAACTGTTCTGTAAAGCATACCAAAGAACATAAATAGAATCAAAACCTTGTGTAGCAGCTTGACTGTAAACCTTGTTGAATTTGAATGAACGACGACTTTCTTTTCCTTGTTTGGCAGGATTTACAATAATGAGTTCTCCATTTTCACCAACATATTCAATGGTTGACTGCTTTTCTCTCTGACCCGGGAGAAATGGCCTTATACGACAATAAACTCTGATATTTCCTGTTCATGTTTAAAGAGCAGAAGAAACTAAAGAATACGATCGATGTGTATTTAGAACCTACAAGTTCATAATATTGATATAGAACCTTTTAGCTCTTGGAGCTCATTGTGTAGCTTTTGATTTTCAGCCAGCATTGCATAATAGCTTTGAACTGCTTTCTGCATAGCTTTGACATTCATTCCTGCAGTTAATTGTTAACCATGAGGTCAATTCATGACTTGTCACTTTAAACAACCAAAATATAATCCCGAAAGTAGAGAGAGGTGTTCTCAGAGTAGGGACCTAAGACATTAAATTCCTCTGAGTAGCTTTTTTGTGTTTTCACAATTTCTTGCTTGATTGACTGCGAAGCAAACCTGAGTTCCTGAATATTGGCGTTAGATCAGGTCAAACATAACACCCAAGTCAGAAAGCTAGAGAAAAGATAAATAGCACAAACTGAGGCATACACGCAGTGCGCCAAGTTGGAATTCTGTAAATATTTGGTATATGTGCTCTTTCTTGGTCCATCCCAAAGATTTTGATTCAGATAACGCCTCAAGTTCCTTCACCCTATTTCTTGACTCTGCTAGAAAGTTCATGACCTCCTTCAACTTCTTCTCTAATTCTTGTTGAACTCCTCTACCTTCTGTTTCCATTTGTAAGCAATGTTCCTCGTGCATTTTCCTCGATACTTCTAGCTCTTGCTTCAAAGCTGTGATTTCATGACTGAAATCATCCTTCTCTTTTATCGTTTTAACCAGGTCCTGCTCCTCGACATTCCTTTTTTCTTCTACATTCCTTTTCTCTTCTATTTTGCTCTGCTCATTCTAGTGTGAAAACGGACAGTGAAGCATTTAAAAATAGCAAAAGCATTCCTTATGGAGGGCGAAGAAGCCGTTGATCTATTACATAAGTTACAGCATAAAAAATAAACCATGTCTTTTCGAAAAATCCATAAATGAGGAAATGGATCTGTTGAAAACAGATAAATAATCAGCATTAAAATATCAATGCCCTTCATTAACAAAGAAGAACATTACAAATTACATTTTAGTGCTTTAAATTGTTGGACTAACAGTAGATTCAACATGCTTCCATCACTAAGAGAACAGATTCTTTTGAATCTGCCAAGCGCAGGGTGGCATGGTTGGCAGCTAAAAGAAATTGAGGTCTAGCAGAAACAGACTCACACATATGAACCAAAAGAAAACAATCACACTTACAAGAAGAGTGGTAGACAATGCCGAACCATAGAAAATGGAAGTTATACCTTAATATGATGTAGCTGGGGCGTAACATGATGTAGCTGGGGCGTAACAATCTGCAGCAGAGAAACTTTGGTAGACAAAGGACCAAATTTCAGCAAAATTTAGGAACTGCAAACTCGCAGTGCAAGAATGACTACCTGTGACTCTTGATTACTCCCAGTTGCAAGGGCTTCAAGTACTCTAATCCTAGACTGGTACTTCTCCTCTCGGGCCTTGAAAAGATTGTTTTGCTGCAGGTTATATAAAGAGGTTAGTTAACCATATTGCTGAATTTATGAGAACTGTTCACAAGAAAGATGCACAAATCATTACCGTTTTCAAGTGTTCCCCTTGAGTAGATATTCGCCGCTCAATCTCTTGTACAACTTTCCTCAAAAGGCCTGCCACTCGCTGTCAAATAGAATCCATAGGGATGAGTTAAATCTTGTTGATTGCCAAGTACATGAGAAAAGGATAATAATGCTTGGACTCATCAGGATTACTTGAGGAATCTCCCCATTTTTCCGCTCAATGCTTTCATCTAGAATTCCGTTTACAACACTTAAAAGTGACTGAGTTGGGGCATTCTGCACAGAACAGAAACAGAAATTGTCTATAAGAGCACGAAATGCATTGGTAGTGACAAGTCTCTCTACAGAGTATAGATCCAGTCCATAGAATTCACAAAAGCAGGACCAGAGGACATACATCCAAACTGTTTGATTTCATCATTTCAGAAATCTTGGAAGCAGGGAGATCTGCATAACGCCCATGTTTGAGCTGAAATACCTCATGGAACTTATGCCCGACATGATGCTTCATTGTCGCTGATGGTTCTGAAGAAACGAAAGAAAAAAGGAGCATAGACAAATCACGAATAAAAAGAAAATGATTGCATATGAATTCAGTTTGTCATGATTGACAAGCAACAAGTATGAGTTTGTCTTGTTATGATTCTTCTTTTGAGAGTAAAAAGTAGCAATATACCTGCCATAACTGGACTGTGTGATGCATGTTGAAAGGGAGAATATTTATGAACACCATGACCACTGCGAAAACAGTCCCCTAACAACTTCCATTTTGTACTTCCATCACTTCCTAATTGATTGGTTGAATGTGCGCCAAAATGATGATGTGCCCTTGCATTTGGCATAAAATGTGCTCTGAGAGTTAAAAGGCAGTCCAACACCATTTTCATGGACCCCTGTACCATTTAGATGCGTTGAAGATGCAATTGAGCAAAAGAAGTGCAAGAAGCAGATGAACATAAATGTTGCCAGGGTAAGAAATTATACTACTACATTCTGCATTTATGAAACTATTTACTGAGAACTGAATTTTGTTTACCTTTTCCAGGTCTGATAACTGGAATCTGGGCAACCCCATTTGATCCATAGTTGCTAAAAACCTTTTGACATTCTCAGACCGTGACTCTGGAGACTGAGCAGGACCACCATGCTGTAAACGATGCAACGCAGATTATCAACATTTGAACACAACCATTTGATAAACTTCGCAATTTTACAGATGAAGATCCAACAAACGACAACCTCTGTCACACAACCAGGTTTTAATTTGTTCAACAATTGGCATAACAGTATGCCATCAACCAAGATTTCTCGTAATTCTTCATCAGAGGCATTCATTGGCAAACTTAAATTAGGAAGAAGACTGTTCAACCATTCCACAAGAATGGCCCTCTGCTTAGCTGTGGAATCAAAAAGGAGAAAAGATCAGTCCAGTGATCATTGAGATAGGCACGTATTCTAACGAACGAAAGCAAATGCCGCCCCAGCCTCACCATCACTTTTTGACATAGGCTCAAAAGCATCAGCACTGAGAGACATAGTTGAGCTGTTGAGTCTATCATAATCCTTGGCTCTCCAGAGGAATTTAGGACAGCAGGCCAGGGTTCCTATCCTCTTTCAGATGCGAGCTGTAGCATGAATGCACCGTGCAAGGAAACGACCTTTGATTACCACCAGAAAGGGCATGGGAAAAGCATATTTAGTAATGGAATAGTGAACCAGATTTCACAATAATCACGAGACTTTTCTGGTTGCAAGAAAATTTAGCTGAAACATAAATTATTGTCATGCAACTCTGTGGACAAACAATATAAGAAAGAATCACAGCTCAAATTAACTACTCAAGAGAATTTGCTAAAATAAACCTGTTTCATTAGAAAGTCATGCTAGCCTTTGTGTAGAAACAAATGATATGGAATTTTACTCGGTAGCAGCTTGAATCTGGCTATATTTATTTTCCATGCACAACTAATTGCTTGCAAGTCATTTTTCAGCAAGTAAAGCAGAAAGAGAGCTGAAGCTAGTCTTCGTATTTTCATATTTTTATCTGCAAAATAAATCTCAGCATCATTTCTTAGAAAAACAATAGCCCGTATTTGGCAAAATGATTTGATATAACAATGGATTTGTCCAATCAATTTTTAAGAGTCTGAGAGTGAGGGAAATCAAAGTGAAAATTGGTACTGGCATTCTTTTATGTGATTTATTGGGATAAGTGAGAACCCAATACTCAAAATTAAGAGGGGAACTAACTTAGGAGATGAACCTGCAATTAGGATATTTAGCAAATTACAAAGCTAGCGATCAATTGAATCTTTCTCAAGGTCTGCCGGACAATGATAAACCAGAATCTGCAACATGGATATGGAAAAGATAAAAAATTTCAGAAATTGCACCAAAACAAGCATTTCGATCACTTGTGCCCACATTTAACGCGCAGAAATTCTAATGATCCAACAAAAACCCTAAGATATAACAGTTAAAGAATAGAGTCCTTGCCCTGCCTCAGCTTTGCAGAAATCAGACAACCTCCAACACAGTATAGATTTAGAGCAGAAATATTGAACATCATACCAAAACGGGCTTCAAATGTAACAATCCACACGTGCAAAATGCAGTAAACATGCAAGTTCTCATCCCGCTATCAACAAGTTAAAACATGAAATATTTCGCTTACGTGCACTAATTTGTCATCACCTGTTCAACTCTGAAAATAAAAGAAATATGAACAGAGATCCATAACAATGTGGCCATGCAAATCGAATATACATTGCATGCAAATAAAGGGTCATTCATGAATGCTGGTAGAGAATAAGAAGAAGATGGGACGAACCAGAGAAGAAATGCAGCGGCATCAAAGCTAAGAAAGGCAACAAAATGTGAAGATTTTTTTCTTTAGTAAATATTATACTAGTTATTTCTCACTGCTACTCGTTTACTTTTTTGGGGTGTGAAATTTATTGGTAAGGGAAAATTCTAAAGCATTTCTTTCAAGTCTTCCGTGAACTCTTGGTATTCTATCGTTGTAAGGTTACAATCCTGTCCGTTCTCCGTTTATTCAGGAGTCGATCAACAATCTTTTAGCTCTCTCAGGTGTGGTCTCAAATCAATTGAGTTAGCTTCGCCTCTTTTCCTTTTTTGGGTCTTTCTAATTCCCGTTTTAGTAATAACCGATATGGCATATTCTTGATTCATGTGTGTTGGCAGGGAAAATTTAATTCAATACGTCTACCTAAGCAACTCTTGAATAATTGAAAGAATAAATGGAAATGAGGCATGTACGTAGGCTTGGGAATAGGAAGAGAGAGATCCAGATTCTTTATTGGATTTTTGTGGTGAATATTTTTGTTGAAGCTGTCTTTTTTTTTTTTTTTTTTTTTTTTTTCTTTAACCTAAGTCCTTCCTTTTTAATTATAGTATGATTATGACAGACATTTAGAGTACAATTAAAAAAAAACCAACAGAGGTTCAATTTTAAAAACGGTCGAAATGCAAGGAGGTTCAATCATGAATATCCTTTACAGCTACTGAAAAGTCATCTTAGTCTTTGATATATTAGGTGTTACAACGCCTAGACTTATTACTGCCCACCCCAGGACCCCAAGGCCAAAAAAAAAAAAGGGTTATTCTGTCGCATTACCTTTGTGAAAATTAGTAGTATAAAAAGCAGTTTAACAAAATAAAGGTAGTCTGTCATAAAGGAAAGAAGAAAAAATTATAGTAACTTGATGGAAAAATCTTGTTTGGCAGACAAGTTTTTTGCCAAGTTTGTCTGCTACAAGTTTTTTTTAAAATTTTAACTATAGTAATCTCAAAAAATTTCTCAAAGTTTTAAAATTATACACTTCAAAATATTAAAAAAAAACACACTTCGAAAATTTTTTAAAAAACTTTTACAATAAGTTACAGTAAAATTTTAGACAAACAGTCAAAAAACTCACTTGCCAAACAGGGCCGTTCTTAGATGAATTATACAAGGAATGGAATTTTTACATAGAACTAACACAAAGATTAGGTTATGATTTTTTTTTTCCCCGATACAATGGAGGGTCTGAAGACCCATTTAACAACAACCAGTCGGATGAGACCCTCGATGTATCTTAGCTTAATAGTTTTCTGAGTGCAAAAGGAGCATCCTAAGAACAACCAAACCAGCAGATTGCTGCAACCCATCCTCGACTTTGAGGCGATCCGCACACAAGTTACCCTCACGCTAAACATGGGCAATTCCAGTCTCTTTCCAATAAAGCCCTGATCTTCATGACGATATTGTAATATTGACTCTCAATTGGAGCATGAATTTTGTTTCTTTAGAAAAGATATTACTGTATCCTGTTTTCACATAGAAAAATAATTTCAATAGTATAAAAAGTTTTGGTCGAAAGTATAAAGAGCTGAGGACATGGATGTCTAATAAAAGTATAGAGAATGAATTTAGTATCGAACCGTGTGGATTTAGTGCCTCCGTTGTTAGAAAGCTCTACTTTTGAGCACCGCATAACCACTTACAAGAAATACTCTCTATTTTTTTTTTTTTTTTTTTCATTGAGGGGTGTCCAAGCCTTTATTTGGCCAAACTAATCCCTAAAACTAGCAAGTCCCGTTCAAGAATGTTAGCAAGTTACCTTACAAAAGTCGAATCTGAGATTTTGCAGTAAAAACTGACGACTAGTCCTGACTAAACTACCCGTGGAGGACACTCACTCTGTGTTAATTAAGTAAATCCTCTAATTCCCAATAGTCACCAAAAAGCTAGAAAGCTCTATTGTGTTGTACGAGTTGCTATGCTGCTCCAACGAAAGCACGAGGACCATGAATTGAGAAGATGCTACTCACCAAGCGGAAGGAATGGAAACCTTCAATCCATTCTTGAATTGTATCAGCCAAATTTGGAATTAGAGAGTGTAGTTATTCACTTCCCCCAGTTGCCATCCTTGCCTGTCACTCCGGAAGATTATGAAAGATTTGCACCAACAGTCCAAAAGAGGTGCAAATTGACATTTAAAAAAAAAAAAACTTATCTGTAGTCAATGTCTAACAATCTTATCAACATCAATGATTTTAATTGTGCCGCTACTCCAACCATGGATTTGGGGCAGATGACCGTCCCTGCATGGTTAAGGGCCAAGATTTGCCCTCAAAATTTTGTGCGGCTGAGATTACACCATGTAACTCGATTTTCGCGCCAAGTGTGGGGCCCACCACTATCTGTTGTGAAAATACATCCTGTAAAAAAAAAGTTACACAATGTACAAAGAAAGTTACGGGCAGTTGATAATGACTAAAATTGCTCGGGACGGTTGCAGGTCCGTGCCCCGAGTCCTCCAACCATTTTTTTTTTTTTTTTTTGTCGACGGAGTGGGGTGTCCGGGTCAAGTCCGTAAAGGCGGCCGACTAATCCCCACTTCGGCCCGGCCCAGCGCTCCAACCGGACCTAGCACGTTAAATGCACGGCGAACTGATGTTGCTGCGGAGGTTCGACCCCAGGACCTAACGGTCCCGAGGAAGAGGCGCCAACCACCAGCCCATTCACGTGGGGGCCCGAGTCCTCCAACCATGGGAGTAGATTTTTGCACTCGTCCTATGTCGTTGTCAGCTTGTGAGATTTCTAAAAATAAGTGGCCTTTCGTATTGTTAAAGTAGGGAGAAAACTGAAGACAGAAACATTGGGCACTAAAGCTTTCACAGAATAGAATACACATTTGATCGGCTTTCTTTATCGTTATCCAAACTAGTGGGATCATAAAACAAAGTCTTAGAATTGGAATTTTCTTTGCTAGCTGTACTGATGCATAGAATTCTGCAAATATTTGTACCATGATGTTTCATGCATCATATCAAATAGAAAATAACTTCATTATTGACTGGCTCTAATAGATCAGATCATCCACTTATACTGATAAAGACTGAAAATGGACCATGACTTCCCCATTAAAGAGTGTCCATTTGTCCTGCTCCGTAACCTTCTACTCGGCTCCAAGGCCCCCGGTCACCCGGGCCCCCATCCCGCATCAGAGAAGACATAAAGGCCAGAAAAAAAAAAAAAGAAGGATTAACCACATTTTTAAGAGAACATGTTCCAGCTTGAATCACTTTGATGAATCTGAACCGACACACCAAACCGAGAAAATGCGTTGCAGTCCCACACGACCCATTCCAGGCGAGAGTCATGAGAGTTCAAATCTAAGGTAACATTCGAACCCTGGGTCAATTCGTAAGCAAAGTTAGATTCATGTTAAACTTTACCGGTTAATTCGTGTTGAAGTTAGATGAATTTAGCAGAGAGGAATGGGTTGGATGACACAGGATGATGCAGTGTAAATAAAAGATTTTATATTACAAAATTTTCACTTATTTTTTTTTTATAAAAAGTTATGCATGTTTACTTTCTTTCAGAATAAATTTTATTTATGTAAATAGAAACTTGAATTTTTGTCAAATCGAATGGTATTTGTAATCTTAGATGTGCATCTCAACCACTTTTTTTGTTTTGCTTGTTGCACATACATAATAGTATCATAAAAGTCACAACATAAAAAACAAAAATAAAACATGCAATCCAAACAGATTCTGTCAAAGTTCTAAATCTAGTAATCCTAATGGACAACTATTGCAAGTAAAACCCTTTTCTTTAATAAATAACTCAAAGAAAGTATCATATATGTGTGTTTGGATTGAGATGATTTGAAATAAAATAATTTGTTTCATAAATTTCAATTACTTTTATATCTTTTTAATTTTTTTTATTTCACATACATCACATCACAAACAAATGCTACAGTAATTTTTTAAAATAAATCATCCAAATAAACTCCTATCCAAACAAAATTGTACCAAGAAATAATTATTATCTTTGCGTATTAATTTTTTTTGAGAAAAGTTAAATTGATTTGAAAAAAATCTAAATACAAAGAATGCAGTAATAAATATGAAAGTGTGCATTTACATAGTAAGTGAGATGTAATTTAATTGTACATGTAAGGGCCTTGCAGCAGTCATCAAAAGTATCTCTGAAGAAATGGAAAGGAAATTAATAGGAAATTGAGTGGAAGTTGAAGAAGAGAAGACAATGAAGTCAGCTGCCTCCAACCTCCAGGGTTTGCGGATAAGAATGGATGAGAAAACCAGAGGTCCAGTACAAAGGGCGCCCACAGCCCCACTCTAAACCAGTGTACGGATTCCACAAAACCGGGAGTTGTCCATGACTTTTCCCCACCAACGCCTTCACACGCGCCTACTCCGTCCACCTTTTACTCCCACAGATAAGAAAGGAGCAAGCCAAAGCAAAGTGTCTTTTGTTATTAGTTATTACTACTATATTAGTGGTTGAACTACAAGTGATTTGTTTTATAGGTGGTCACAGAGGATATTTGTTGTTGCATTAGATCAAAATTGAAGTTGTTATGCAGTTGATTATATATGTGTTTAATAAATTGGTCAAATATTTTTGCCAATTTGACAAGAAATTAAGTTTTATTAACTTTACATATGATATTGCTAAAGTAGTATCTATGGTATAATCTTGTGAGTTGTGCATATGAAGTTCGATCATATACTATAACATATATTGTATATGCGGTTTTAAATTAAGCTCAATAAACTTAAGAATTAGTACTGCATAATTTAATTTCATCTCATTTAGTTTTGTGACCTACTAGAGCTTGAAAAATATTACATCAAGTTTAAGCCGTGAATGAATATGTTACAAGTAGTTTGTTAGATGTTTAATTTTAGTCTCACCAAAACTAAAATAAATGTGGGCATATTATAATATTATATTTTTTATAAATTTTTATTAAAAAATGTGGGTGATTATGATAGAAAATTATTTTTAAAAAAATTTAGGTACATTTCTTTTAACTTTTTGTAATGTGATTTATTTGAGTTTAAAGGTAATTAAAAAGATATCTAAAAAAAAGGTAATTAAAAAAGATAAAAGTAGTAGTAGTTCAAAAAATATATTTGATGATGAATGCGGAAGTGGCGCGTGGACTATAGACAAAAGCTTCAAGATTATGTGGCGAGCCGCCATGACCTGAAAACTGACGTCTGAAACACGTGTTCCATCTACGGCTTCCATGGTTTTGGACCCACTTGCATGGCGATTCTATGTATCAACCCTTCAGATACCGCTGAATTACCTTCTCGCCACCGACCGCGTAGATTAAAGTTTGGGGCTCTAAAAAGACCAATTTGACATTCGATGGCAACGGCAATTTCGCTTTTACAAAAGTGGAGATGATAGATGGATTAGAGTATAAACCTAGGACTCGTGATAATATGAGCCTAGTTGCATCTAATTTGATGGCTTAGCGAGGGATGTGAATGATTGGATAGACTTCGGACTATTCGGGCTGCGATACTTTTTTTCAAAAAAAAAGTACTTTTAAAAGATAAAAGCGCTGTGTTTGTACTTAACAAGTATTATTTCTTGAATTTAAGAGAAGAGCTTTTTTTAATCAATAAAGCACTTTTAATATTAATTCAAAATTGATACTTTCAGAGCAACTTTTGTCTTCCAAAAAAATATAAAATTAACTTTAACAATTTTATTATAAATTTTGAACCAAATGAAGAGATAAATAAATTTTAAAATTTCACATTATCAAATAAAAAATACTTATGCAAGTATACATCTAAACAATATAATTAAGCACTCGATGACTATTTTGATCAAAAACTGTACTGATAAAGTGATTTTAATAAGCTCCACCACAACCTCAAATGGACCTTTAATTGGTTAAACTACTAGTACATAATTCATTGGAATTTCGGATAAAATTGACTAAACTATGACAATTTGAAAATTTATAACTCTTAAACATACATGGAATGTCTATGTAACTACAAGAAAATTTAATTTTATCAGTTATTGGAAACTTGATTTTTCAATTGTGCTATAGTTATTTAAAGTATTGACAACAAGAAAAATATGAAGAAATATCGTCATGATCATAGAAAAAAGGAAAACAATTTGTCAAATTTCTAGTTTTGCTTACATGATGTAAAATAAATATAGAATATTACATTTTTCTAAGAAAAAATAGTCAATTTAATCAAATCATAATGCAGATAAAACATAGATTTAAGGTGCTGAAGATAAATTAAAAAAATGGGATGTTGGCTAGTTTTTCGACAATGCAAGGTTTTCAGTCAATTTTTCAACTATTTATCTCCAATTTTTAGTTGCATTCCAAATAGATGTTGACAAGTTTGATCTTATTAATTTAAATTCAAGGCAAACATTTTTCTTGAGAATCATAAAATGCAATAATGTTCCTTGTACTTGATAAACACTAATGAATAATTACAACGGCTAATGCATTTTTTTTTCTCTTGTAATTGAGTTGAATCCGTATTGATCAACTAAAGTCTCACCTCTTGTACCTTTTTCTCATGGTTGAAGGAAAGTTGCAAGAACAGGTAAAAGTATGTTAGAACCAGTCCGTCCATTCAAAAAAACAAAACGTTGGGAGAGAGAGCCAATATGAGTCAAATTATAGCTAACGACGGGAAGGGCAAAATGAGAAATTCACAGAAGAACAGCAGCTAGAGCCAGCAGATTTAAAACTTCTCCCTGAATAATGGAAACCAGCGAAGCTTAAGAATACGCTTCCCCACGATACCACTTCTTGCTCTTGGTAAAAACCACTTGCGCCAGCTGCCACAAGTTCTCTCACACTTCCCCCCGGTCCCCCTTCTCCCCCACCATTGCTACAGTACACTTCTTATTACTATGGCACTACTTCGCAATTCTCCCCTCCCATAGATAAATGAAAACCGATCTCAATTTCTCTCAGTTTACCAGAGCCCCTCTTTCCCCAATTATCTCCTCTTTCCTTCCTCCACTGTCCACCCCAGCCAGACAAAATCCTCCATAATTGGAACCCCACCAAAGACTCAAATTCAAGGAACAAAAAAAAAAAAAAGAGGGAAATAGACATAACCATTAATCATGCGGATGAGCTGCAATGGATGCCGGGTTCTCCGGAAAGGCTGTAGTGAAAAATGCAGCATCAAGCCTTGCCTTCATTGGATCAAGTCCCCTGAAGCCCAGGCCAACGCCACCGTCTTCCTTGCGAAGTTTTACGGCCGCGCCGGCCTCCTCAACCTCATCAATGCTGGCCCTGATCACCTCCGCCCCGGTACTCCTCCTATCCCATCTCATACCATTAAATTAACAGCTAAAGAATCACCCCCTTTTTTTATTTCCTTTAAATCTAATTCCTCTTCTTTTTTTTAAAAAAAATTTTCCATTCAAACTTTATTCAAAAGTAATTCAGTCCCGCAAGTCCTTAATACGCTATAGTGTAAAGTAAATTGTCCTAAACAAAATAAAGTGTGGTCCTAAACGAAAAATTAGGAGAAATAATGCTTGAATTCCTTAAGTGGTAATCATATTTTCTGATTTATGGTATAAATATTTCTATGTTATGATGATTATTGCAGGGATATTTAGATCTTTGTTATACGAGGCATGTGGGCGAATTGTGAATCCGATATACGGCTCGACTGGCTTGTTATGGTCGGGAAACTGGCATCTCTGTCAAGCTGCAGTTGAAGCCGTTCTTAGTGGCTCGCCGATTTCGCAAGTTTCGGCCGACTCGGCTGCATGCACCGTGTGCCCACCCCTCAAGGCAGGTGATATTCGCCACGTGTCCAAGGACGAGAACTCGGCTGGCTCAGCAGCGCGAGATCTTCACAAGGTGAAGTGTAGTAAGGGCAAGTTCAAGCGAGCCGGGGTGAAGCAGCCGAAGGTGAGGGTGGAGTCGCCTGATGTGGATAACGCGGCTCGAGTTATGTGGAGCTGGTCTCACAAAGAGGAGGAGGAGGAGGTTGTGGGATCGCCGAGCCGTGACTCGGGAGTGAGCCAGCATGTTGAGCCGCCGAGTCGGGGCGGTGAGTGTGGGGATGCTGACAGTGCTTCCGTGGAGACGGTGGAGGAGTCGCTTGTTAAGCCGGATGAGCCAGCCGATGGGAGTGATGTAGAGCTGGAGCTGACTCTCGGCTTTGAGCCTGTTCTGTGTAGGCAGCGGAAAGTGGGGCCCCAGGAATCCGACGGAGGTGTTAACAAGTAAGAGGAGCTTGGTTAATAATTCTCAGGAGTTAAAAAAAATCATTTTTGGCGGCTCATATTCACATTATCTTAGTTGCCTTCTCTCTCTATCTTTTTTTTTTTTTTTTGGGTTCTTTTTGGGATTGGGGATGGGGGAGTAATTTTTGTGTAAAAAGGGTTTTCAATTTTTGTTACTTTGGGCGATAAGGGTGTAAAATCTGGCCATGGTGACCTTATGGTTGTGGTCCCAGTGGATGTACATTTTTTTTTTTAATGATAAAATGGGTCCACGATTCCATTAAATTGGAGCAAATTTTTGTTGAAGGTGGCTCCTGATTTGTAACATATCAGCCGGGTTAGGATTAGCAAAAAATCCATCCATGTCAAGAATACGAATTGATTTTGCTGATAATAATATTGTTCAATAGTAATTGGAGGGGGTAGTCATCTTGTGAAAAAGGTTTCTTTTTTAAGTTATTTGGGACATCAAGGGCGTAAAATTTCGGCATGGCGACCGACCCTTTTGGCTGTAAAAAAAAATGCCACCAATTCCGTTTAGTTTGGAGCAGGTTGTGGTGCGAGGTTAGCTTTGAGTTGTCCTGAATAGCCAAAAAGCAGCAATGTGTATCAAGAATAATAAACTATGTTTCCGAACTTGATAGGATTTTGGCCATCACGTTAATTGTGGCGTGGAATGGGAGGTCAAGTTCAAATTTTGTCTTTCATTAATAATGTCTTCTAAATTCATATATCTGCTAGGTGAGAGTTTAAGGGTTCAAACATTGTTTTTTCATTAATATGCCTTCTAAATTCATTAATATGCCTTCTAAATTCATACAGCTACGTCAATCAGTCCCTATCAAGTTTTCCGGTTCAAACATTATTGTTTTTCATTAATATGCCTTCTAAATTTGGTTCAAACATTGTCTTTCATTAATATGCCTTCTAAATTCATACAGTTACGTGTTGCATCCGTCTGTCTGACGGTCATTCAATCCCTATCAAGTTTTCCGGTTCAGTTGGATCATCCCTAGCATAGGCTCCCCAGTTAGACTAGAGTGCTGTTACGTAAAAAAAAAATAGAATTTTGGTGATAATGATTTTTAACACAAATATTGGAATCTAAGTCACCTTTCTTTCCTCTTGATCACCTGAATGTGCTAGCCTGAAAGAGGAAAAGGTTTTTTTTTTTTTTTTTTTTTTTGTGGGGGTTGTGTTTACTGCTTATAAGTAACACCTCAGCGCTCAGCGTGTAAGGAAGAAACGCGAAATGTGGTCAAGAAATTGAAGAGCTCAGCTTGGGAAAGCCCAAAAGCCAGCTGCTGATCTTGCGGAATTTTAGCTGAGCTGCTTGGGATTCTCCTCCCTTGTGGAGTTTGGTGCTTGTCCATCAGATTGGATAGTGGGTTGATTGTTGTCCTGTAATTAGTACTAATTTTCAAATAAGCGCACGGGTTCTCTCAACACACTCAATATTATATGGTGGTATGTTGTGAAATGTTTCTAAACTATGGTCCGAATTGGAGGTTTTGGGCAAGAACTCGTGTACTCTTTTCAGAGTATCGCAAAAGATGACATGGTACCCAACTATTAATGACACAGACCATAAGCGCCTTAACATTCCAGTTCACACCAAATTCTTAAGTTCCGGATTTGGATTGAATCAAAATAATTATCGTTTTCCCGGTCTAAATCTTGGAATTCAAGAAAAAGGGACGGATGTCCTGCATGATTGACAGGATATATATTATTACCGTTGTATTCATAATATATATGTAAAAATTTAAATTTTACATTTGACAGGATATATATTATTACCGTTGTATTCATAATATATATGTAAAAATTTAAATTTTACATTTCGTCCAACGCTAACAATGTATTATTACCGTTGTATTTATGATATATGTGTAAAAATTTAAATTTAAATTTTACATTTCGTCCACGTTGACAGTGTATACGATTAGCATAGTAAAGATTAATCCTATATGTATATATGGTCCGAGGAAGAAACCCGTGACAAGCATAGGAAACTTCGCAGAGGAAGCTAAATGTTCTGTTTGAACTTTGAACCATAGACCATAGTCACTCGAACACTCGACAACGAAGAAGGAAGCTAAATTATGAGTCTTTTTAACCAACTAACCTACCTCCTCCTCCTTAGAGCTAGAGGTAGTAATAGCGTTTTTAATGGCTTTTGACCTCCATTCAGCCAAAAGTCTAAAGGAGAAAGAGCGTTTAAACTTTAAATCATATATATTAACGGGTTTGAATGCATGATAAGCGTACAAAATTTGAATTTAAACTCTATATTTTGCACATGTAGCATGCATTTAAAGTACGAATGTACACATTTGTGAGTGCAATTTATGTTTTTTTTGGGGGGGTTCAAGTAGAGGACAAGTATCCATGTTCATATTTATTTGCCCCTTTCTTTTGGTTCATGTTGTTGTAGAATCAAGTTTGTCTTTGGGCTAACGAGTTTTGCATGGACGCAAATCTCATGAATCAGGCTGGAGGCCCAATTTCACATAAGCCCATCAGGTGCGGCACCTTACCTCAGTTCCCACCTCACTGGTCACTCCTCAGAGTCTCCGTTTCTGCGCAGAGATCACAGAGGAACCACAAAAAAGGAAAGAAGGAAATATGGGGAGGAAGAAGGGAGTGGTTTTCGACGAGGGAGCTCCAGATGACTTCGACCCGGAGAACCCGTACAAGGACCCGGTTGCCATGCTGGAGATGAGGGAGCACTTGGTCAGAGAGAAATGGATCGACATCGAGAAGGCCAAAATCCTCCGGGAGAAAGTCAAGTGGTGCTATCGGGTTGAAGGGGTTAATCATCTTCAAAAATGCCGCCACCTCGTCCACCAGTATCTCGACGCCACACGCGGCGTCGGATGGGGGAAAGACCAACGCCCCCCTTCTCTCCACGGTTCTCCATTTCTTCCCCCTTTTTTTATTCTCGCAAGTATTATCATTGTTCGTCCTTAGGTTTAATGTCAATTTTATTGATTATCTTTTATTATTTTTGTGCCAGGGCCTAAAGTCGAAGCCGGAGTGGCTGAGTAATTTGTTGGATTCTGTAAGTCGAGGTATTTTCTGTGTTTATTGATTAATTATCGTCTTAGGTCTGGTGGAATTTGAGTGGATGATCAATTTTTTTTCTTTTATTTTTTGTGGTTTATTGTCACTTTTTGAATTTTCTTTAGGTTGATCCTGCTATGCTATGCTGGCGTTTATGCTAAATTTGGGAATATATAAACTGTCCCTGTTATCTTGGATTGTACATCTGTTAGTATTAATCAAGACGAGATCTTGTTCGGTTCATTAACTGAAGTTGGGTAAAGGAAAGGCCTTTTGCTGTATTACATAATTTTTCTGTGTAGATTGCTTGGAAAGTGCTCTAAAATTGATTTATGAATGTTGCCTTTTGCCTCTTCTTTCCGCTGGGTATTTGTATAGGTAGGTTCTGTTTTGTTGGTAACAAAGTAGAGGGCTTTTGTGTAGAAAATCAAATTGACATCTGAGCTCATAAGTTCATCTGGAGACATCGTGGTATGATTTCTCCTTTCCGTGTGTTCTCAAGAATCTCATGCCAGTGTGATAGATGATTATGATGATATGATCGAGCTGCATGGATGGTAATGTTAATCAATAGGCTGTGTCACTCACTCGTTTAAAAGAAAGCTCGTCTTGTATTGCTCCTTTTATTCATTTTGTTGCTTGAGATGCCATTAGAGCTTTCTCTTGGTTATTTTGGTCAAGTGTTACGTAAAGACATGCATTGAGATAACTTTTTTTGAGAGTTTACAATTGCAAATGAATCTAGTCATCCTGGATAGCTGAAATTTGAGTTGGTTCTTAGGTTATTTAAGCTCCATTTTTCGGCTCATAGACATACTTTTGAGTTTGCTTCAAGGAGGTGCGAGGAGTTTAAAATATTGGTTTCCACTTTGTTGAGCTTGTGAAGTCAAGACTGTAGGGGTCATTTCAGTGGTTGCTAGATACCTTTCAGGGCTTGTCTCTGAAGTTATGCGAATATCTACGTAAATATGAAACCACTCCTTCAATTGTTGCATCAAATATGTTCAGAATATTTTATCTTATTTCACATTTTATCATGTGTAATTTCATTTCTTTGTTAGTGTTCCACAAATTTTGAAGAGTTTTGATTGAGCTGAACTCTCCTAGGCAAAGGAGCCTAATTCTCACTAAATGAAGCTCCAGAACTGAAGAATGTGTAACATTGACTTACGCTTCATTTTTAATAGTTTAAACACTATTTATCTTGGCTCCTTGGCAAATATGTGGAATAAGAAGCTTTGATACATATCACAGCTGATGCATTCAGGCAACATTTCACTAGAAAGTATATGGTTAACTCATACTAGGGTTGATGCTGAGATATGCATTGGTGGTTGAAAGTATTCAATTTTGTTTGTGTGAATGGGTGCATGGTACTGTTCTACAGGTGGAAATCTTGTTGTCTTAAATCATAAACCACTGCTTTCATCTTGAATTAGATGTTATGAATTTTGGATGGTTTTTTGTGTGAAGCATTTCAATAGCTGAAGCTATGGTGCAAAGGAATATTAAATGATGCTTCACAGGAACATTCCCCCCCCACGAAAAAAAACCCAAAAAAAAGAAAGAAAGAAAAGAAACTTGAGCTGAAAAGGGAAGTAAAAAGTCAATGAGACCACCTGAATATGCCTTTTGCTGTGAAAAAGCGAGAATAAGATTTTAATTGAAGAAATAAGAATGTAAGCTACCACTACTCAAGAATCAATGTTTTAACTCAACGTCTAGTAAGGCGGATCAACATTGATAATGGTGGTCAGTGGTCTTTCTACATGTTGACAGCCTGCTAATTGTATTTGATTTTTTTATGGCTCAAAATATGTTTTTCTATCAAACTTGTTGATTGTGTTACATTGGAAACTTTTTTCTTGATTAATGTGCACCGGCTAATGTTAAAGTCCTCTAGAATTTGTTGGAGACTTTTGTGCAAAATAACGCCTCTTGCTTTGTGGGTTCAAATTGGTGATAATTAAGTACCAATGCGAAGGTTATCATCAATTGGATTCACTACCTGGCTTATATGAAGTCCTCATTCCTTCCTTTTTTTTTTCTTTTTTCTTTTAGTGGTTTATGTAGCTTTCTGTAGCATTGTGAACAGCAGACAAGTGTTTGTCATTCTGATGGATAATACTTCTTTTTCTTATCCCCTTTTTTTGGATGTGCGTGTGTGCGTGTTTATCCAGATGGAGTAGCATTTGATTTTATAAAGTGATGGTGAATTTTTTCTTTTTTAAAAAATATGTGATGGCGAATAAGGGTAGAAATCTTGATCGGTTTAAAACGTTTGCTGCTTCATCGCCCGCACACTCAATTCTTAGGTGATCAATAAATGCAGAATTATAAATTTTTCCTGGTTTTTGCAGGTGATCGACTTTCCCATAGAAAGATGTATAAAGTGGAGAGAGGCTGAGGTTTGGAGATCAACCAGCATGGTGGTGTTGCTGTTAATTTCTTTTGCTTTATTAAGACCTTACTGCATCTTTACTTTTGATTTGTATGTAAGCGCCAATCATGATGGCTGTGGCTCTAGACATTTTGTGCTCGCCTGGTCGCATGGATGCCAACAGCTACTTGAATCAAATGAATTTCGAGGATAAACAATAAATTTTTACATTCATCCGTTGCTTTCTAGAGCTGTTCTGATGATCTTGAGCTTCTGTATGGCTTCCAGTTATATAGAGGAAAAAAAAATTTAAGCTGAAACTTTGTTTTCTCTGCTATTTTGCTCTCTCCTCAGATGGACCTTATTTGAGGTCCTTGATTACTAGTTAAGATCTTATTAAGTTCTTGATTACTAGTTAAGTTTTCATTGTTTGTGCATGCGAGAAGTTCTGAGAGCCAGTTGGGGAAAGTTGCTAGGTTTCTGGAATAATGCAGGACAATTGGATTAACCGAGTCTCCTGACATTTATCTTCTGGATGAATTTCCTAATAACATAGGTGAACGCTTAGATGAATTTGGATTTTGCGCATTATAAATTGGGCGAATGTTGTTGTGAAGCCCAAGAAGACAAAATCATCATGTCTTTGAGCTTACACAGGGACATAATACGAGGGATATGAGCATTCTTTCATACAAGTTTAATACTGAAGGACCAAAAAATAAAAAGCTTAAAATGAAAATTCTTGAACTGCAATTTGAAAAACTTGAACTGATTTCTGGGGGCGGATTTGTATAAATTTTTATCTGGAGTCGACTAAATGCTATATTACAGATGGGCATTGAATATCTCTAAATCGGGACATTTCTTGAATTGGTGATCTCTTTGTAATTCCACTCAACAAAAGCAAGTCACAAGAAAATGTTGTTGGAATGATATTGCAACATTTTACTGTCTATACAACTTACAAACAAAATGTATATATTTCAATGGTCGGCTTGACAGTTCACCAAACAATTGAATTCCGACATTCCTAACACATGTAGTTTACAATATTTTTTTTTCTTTTTTCACGGCACAACTAATAATAGCCTCCCAATCTATGAAATTAAGAAGAAATACAAAGAGCAAAACAAGTAGTCGTGGGGGTGAGGTTCTTGCCAGCTTGGTAATAGTAAACTTTGCAGAACCCTCAGATCCCAAGGCCATCACATCATGGTCACCCTCACCGTCGTTCTTCCTGCCTTTGCCCAATTTCATTTGCAGCATCGCTCCATCCTCTGATCCTTCTCTTCACCACGGCAGCTGCTAAACACAGCAACTCAAGTTCCATTAGAAACAAGAGAGAGCAGATGATCAAACAGAAAAGAAATAGTAATACAGTAGCTTAAATTCTTATCAGATATGATGGACGCTGAGGTGATGAGTGAAGGGCGAGATCCATCGGGGAGCTCCCTTCAGTCCAATGGGCGGGCAAAGTGAGCGACAGGAGTTGCTCCCACACCATGCATTGGCTAAGCTTAACATTTCTATGCCTCGCATCAGACCTCCTGTTGAATTCTTGCTCACCATAGTATCCCTCACCTTACCTTGCAAAGAGAAAAAAAAGAGAATACTTAAGCATAACCGAATGCATGAGATGGCAGCCCTAGCCGCTCCCCAGCCCTCGGTCTTGGACCGAAGGGAGCTCCTCTTCTCTTTCCCCTCCTCCTCCTACTAGATAGTGATCAGGCAAGCATGTCTACCTGATATATATATACATATATATACCACGAGAGAATCAAGAATGGATGGACCCTGGACCATAAAGTTTTGTGGGAAAAAAGGATGGGGCCTCCTCCGGCCTCCCTAAGACCCTTTTTGGTTTCTTATATAGAGGTGGGGCGGTTTTCACTTTCACCGAGATTTCAGGCTGGAGAAGGATTATAGAATTTCCGACCACAATATCCCTTTTTTCCTTCTTACTATTTCTTAACCAAAAGTGCATGTGGTCGTATTTGATCTGCTATCTCTAGGTACATGCATACAAATTAGTCAATAGAATTAAATGCATCAGATTACTTCAACTTACTGATGATAAGTGACTTCAATAATTCATTCCAGCAACAAACAATTCAAACTTTACCCATCTATGACTTACTTAGACACACACACACCGCCTGATTCCCAACCCAATATGGTAATGACTTAATTTTACTTTGACCAAACTGGTTAATTTTTAATCTCGCTACCTTTCCACCTCTATCAGTTTGGAGTATCAGGGTATTTGCAATTTATATATATATATATATATATATATATATATATATATACACAACTCTTTTCCTGATCAAATGCTGATCCATGGTTTGGGATTTGGACAATACTCGTGCGCATTATATAAAGATCAGTTGGCAAATTTTCCCAAGTGCCTAACCGGTCAAATGAAGTTTTGCCACCACAACATGGACAGGGTGATTGCTTCTTGCATTCGTGATCATCATGAGCTTGATATCACCATGACGCCCCATTTCTGTTTCCATCTCAAACCTCTTTTCATCAGTTTCCCAAAATTCAGTTACATGCAGTCATGTGAAAGGCCAACAACCAAAAAAAAGAAAAAAAGAAAACATTTGGGACTCTTTTTCTTTTGGTACATTTTTTTTCAACAGTAACATTCTTATAATTTTTTTTTGTCGATACGATAACTTCCTACACTATGGGGAGAGGGAGGACCTGAAAAGGTCTTGGAGTAATCCGGAGGGGATTGAACCACCACCGGACTGGACGGGCGCACTGCGCACCCGCCTGAATTTTTTAAGCAAGGTCACATTTAATTGTGGTAAATTGGTGGGAAGCAAGGGTTCCTTAATTGATGTACCAAGCCTTAATGCATTGGTGGTGACCACCAGCCTTCTTATAGTTTAATCTATCCTAATCTAGAAGGAGCTAGAGCCGATGGGAGTAGAAACTCCATCGAAGAAAGCCACTGAAGGCAGCGATTGAACCCTTGACCTCCCAATTTTGACGGTAACCACCAGGCCAAAAGGCTGGTGGCCTTTTTTGTTTTTTTTTTTTGGGTACATGGATTTGGATAAACTAGGATGAGTCTAAAACACGCAGGAATACCAAGTATATGCATGATGCATCACTTAATCTGTTAAATTAATTGTTGGTCAACTTTATCTCCGTGTCTTGTCTCATACCATGCTCATAAATTAAAATTCTTGTATGTTGTCACGAATTCTTTTTTTTTTTTTTTTGGGGCACGGAATCTATGGAACAATTGATGTAGATAGTTTGACCATTTGTGAACATGATTTGGAAAAGCCAGCCTTTCATTAAGTTAAATAACCATCATTTGATTAATGTCGTAATTCATTTGATTACAAGAATCATACTACGTACTAAAATCTTTGTCGAGATCCAGCCGTACCCTATTCACATGATACTACAAAAGCTACAAAAGAACAGACGAGACGAGACTATGAAGATTCCTGAACTCAATTCTTTCTTTCATTCCTGATTGTCAGAGTAATAAAAGACCGACCAAAAGACAAATTGCACGGACTCCGTTTCCCTAATCTTTTACTTCAATCGCCAATAATCAAAACTAAATCATCCTGCTATTGACAAAAGAAACAAGAAGGAATAAAAAAAAAAGGGTGGATAAAACTGCATATATGATTGATTCATAGGTAATTTATTTACAGAATTTGGTTCTTCTGATCGGTTGTCACCTGAAGTGCCATGTGGCCCGTTGAAGAGGAATCCGTGTCCAAGTTGCCAAAAAAGTGTCCTTTTCTTCCCCCCATTTTTTTGGTAGGTAGAATAATAGTTTTGAGGGTTCGATTCCGATCATCATCGCAGGTTAAGTTAAGGCATGCTTTTAGAATCATAGATTCTCGCTAGCTGAGCCTACTTGTGGTGACGACAAAAATGTGTCCTTCGCTTTCGTTTCCAGTTGGTGACAATTCGAGACCTGATCATCCGGGCACGGCTGCTGAATTTTGTATTTGTCGCCCCTCAACTTTTGGGATTCGGATTCTTCAATAGTGTTGCCTCTGATCTAACTTTATTTCTGTTTCGTTTTCGTGTTATGGCAGAAATGTTGTACAATTCCAGTCAGCACTCTATCACTTTCTAATAACTGCATCAAATCGTAATTACATTGGCATAAATCAATAGTTTACGAACAAGTAATCACTTCTTGGATGGTTATTAATTCTTCTCTAATGACTAATATATTGTTGACGTTAAAATTGTTGTTAAATTTTGATCCAGTTAGGGGGGCCAGGCAAAGTGTAGTTTACCTTTTAATTACTGAATTTTTACCAGAGACACAAAACGAGGGAGAAAAAAAGGAGGAAGGAAACCCCATAGGCATGCAACAAAGTAGTAACCAAAATTGGGATTGAAATAGCTTAAAGCTATTACACTTCACCCCAAAAAAAAATTAAGGAACAAAATCAAAAAGTGGCTGAACTTTGTGAATTTAGGTGCTGGTGGGCTATTAGTTTGTGAAATTAACTAGCAGAAAACTACAAGATACTATCGTTTCCATGAGCACTAGTCCAAAACAGCCCGCAAAAAGGCCCAAATACCGTAATGGGCTTATAAGTTTGAAGCAAGAGTTTATGCGCGGTCTCATCAGAGGTGACCGAGCAATGGTACAGGCTTCCAAAGTTTAAGGGCCGAATCTAAAAGCTATTTTTACGTATGATTTCCTAAAAGTTGATTTTATATAATTGATTCTTAAAAATCAAAATTCTCAAAATAGCTTGTGTACTCTTGCAGTATACCTTCAAAAGCTAATTTTGATTAATTAATAATCAAATTGCCCTTTTAACTGTATACATTAACTTTAGGTATCTTACTAATTATATTAAAATTTGGCATAAAGTCTACTCTTGCAGTTATGAATACACAAAAATAATTAGACTTTTGAAATTAAAAAGTTAAAATCAAAATTTCAAAATCAGCTGAGGACAAGACATTAGTCAAACAAAATTCTTGTGCGCCCCAAGATCTAAGGATAGCTCTAAAGTCATTACTAAATTACAAAAAAATAGCTTATGCTTGTAAAGGGGTTAAAACATCGCCTATTGCCTATTAAAAGAACATATACATGCTACCACCGTCTAGGTGCAAGGGCAGAAAGGACGAATTCTTGATTTAGGCTAATTTCTAGGAGAGGTGAAATCAACTTTTCCCCATCTTAAATTTACAAACTCATGCTAAAGCCAACTCGATATGTGTGCAATATTGGAACAAATCACTTTTCTAACCCCATTTGGCAAGTGAGTTTTTTTGGTGTTTGTCTAAAACTTTACTGTAACTTACTGTAGAAGTTTTAAAAAAAATTTTTGAAATGTGCTTTTTTTTGAATATTTTGAAGTGTATATTTTGAAAACTTTGCGAAGTTTTTTGAAGTTACTGTAGCTAAAGTTTTTAAAAAACTTGTAGCAGACAAACTTGACAAAAAACTTGTCTTCCCAACTTGTAGTGTAAAATTTTATTAAAAAAACTTTGATCTTTAGTAGTTTTTTGAATAAGTTTTTAAAATTAACTTGGTCGTTATCAATACTTATAGGTAGCTATCTAGGTAACATGTTGTTTATATAGTTATAATATTATATAGTTGTGCTTGTATTGATTGGCAATATGAGCTTTGGATGGTCATGTGTGTTTTTTTTTTTTTTTTTGGGTGGCTATGTGAATAAATTACAAAGGTAAATTACGTTTTTTTTTTTTGTGAAGAACATTTAAAAAGTGACAAAAAAAGTTCAGACCAAATCCATAAAATTTCATTTACACATGGTAGCAAGGTGATAACATGCAGATACAAGTCATCAAGGGATGGACATGGATGGAAGGATGTAGAGGAGGGTATTTGTGCCCTCAACCAAACATGGTGAATAGAGTTGGAATCCGACTAGAGACACCAAGTTGGGAGGAATCTCCTCGCCGATAGAATTGCAAGGGATTAGGCAGGGATTCAACGTACCACAAAAAGGAAGTACAAAACAAAAAATGGGATTAAAGGATCGATGTGAACTTAACCCTTCTCTTAATATTTACACAGTTACTCAGCTATATGTTACCAACAAGAAACCAAGCACTAAATCTGCTGGTGGGCTGAAATTAGAGCAACATGCCTCTCGTTCCCGTCCCTCGATCGATCGGCCTGATCTCTTCCAGTGTCCCAGTGGCTGTATATTCATTGTATCCTCTCGGTGCTTAGCCCTACTTGATGATTGGACTAGGCTACCAGCCAACGCTGCGGCGCCAAGAACCGACTAGTATAAAACAGCATTTGGCTCTAAGTCGAACCTTTTGGCTTTTTCAAGGTCGACGGCGAGAGAACATGCGCACTGGGGCCAATTTGTTCGGCAATGCAGCGCGGTTTCCGTAAGGAGAATGGAGGCTGATGAAGAGTTAAAAGGAACGCAGCGATTTGTCGCTCTCAAGTTGTATATTCTACACACTTTCTATTTCCGGAATATCCAACTCCAATACTTTCCAGCTATGTACCTATATTTGTTCGATCCCTCTTGAGTTGAGTTTAGGAGAACAAGAATCTGCAATGGTTTTCATCTTTAGATTTGAGCCCAAATTTGTCCACAAGAATAAAAAATCAATAGTTGAGCTTCCAACACTAGGGTTCTTCTTTCTCCTCGAATATTTTCTATTTTTTCTTCCAATCTAGGGCTTTATCTTCTACAAATCTACGACTTTATCTTCTACACTTTACATTAGTAATGGGACTTTCCACACTCCCACTGCTTGTCCTTAAGCATTTTTTTTTTTTTTTTGCATAGACTCATTCATGAGTCATGACAGTATATTTAAGGGGG